TTTACTCTGCACCAAATAATTAACCAGCCACAGCAGTTAACATTTGAGCAAAAGTAGTCTTGCATTTTAGTCAGATGAAACCAATGTGCTCTGATGTTGAGGGGAGCGTCATGAGAGAGGAGAGTTATATATATAAAACAAGGAAAGTTTGATTAATTCATAAACTCTGACTCTGGCTGTTGGAAGTGACTCATTCAGAGGTTGGGGAAGAAAGAGATTGGAAAGTAGTGGGTGGTTCAGGGATAAAGGAGGCTGATGGGTGGTTATGCATGGTTAGGCCAAGGCTTTCCGTTTTGTTTTTTTGTCTCGTCTACCTACAGTGTCTGTCTCTCTGTCTGCTCTCACATCTCTCTGAGACATGAATCCTCCGCAGGCTACCGCCCAGCTGTCTGTCTCCTTAATATGAGACCTAGACAGAAACAGTACGCACACAAACACTCACAAAACACATGTGTTCCTTCATGTTCCTAAACACATATCTTTGCATTGTACATGTGGACAAAAGCAATATCCCCTCACCCTCTCACCCGAGCCAACACAACGACAGCAGCATTATCTTGTCTAGTGATTAAGTAAATGCAGCCTCTAAAGAGTAAGAAGCTACTCTCAGGCCATTAGTCAAGAAGATAACAGTCCTACACCCTGTACTGCACCACTCAGCAGTATCTGCAGTCCTCGTTGGCCCCACTCTTCTCCTCACAGCTGGAGACAGAAAGTACCAAGCCAACAACAGAAAAGAAAAAAATATGACGCAATCTGAATTTAAAACAGTCACTTCGTGAGCAGCTGAAAGATGCAACCTTTAAAGACAACATTCACCTGACAGTCTCTCTCCTGAAGGTCCAGAAGGAACACATCATGTATTTACACCTGCAGTAAACAGAAGGGGAGATATGTAATCGAGATTTCAGGCTTATGAACACTAATGCATTGCGATAGTGTGAGAAAAGGAATCCCACATGTGGGCAGGGCTTTCACTTTGGATTTGCCAGACCGCAGTCAGCACACAGGCCTCTACTTCTGAGGATCCACAGGGACGAGATTCCACAAATTGCTCATTCTACCACATTACAGTCAGTAACACTATGTTAGCTGCTGACATCCTACAATACCAATTACACAGGCAAAGATTTTGCCTCCAATATGTCTTTCAAAGGGCTGCAACTAATGATTATTTTCATCAGTAATTTTTGCATTCATTTTGTTCTGCACATTTAGGTCCAATGCAAGCGTTCATCACAAAACCTGGGGAAAAATCACAAGGCACCCTATACTGTCTATATGGGATGCACTGGGCTTTCATCTTACTCCAATGTAATCCCATCTGTGGCAACCACTTAGTGGAAAGAACTGGAAAGTTGGGTGGGTGGGAGAGAGGGAGGGGTGGTGGATGGGTCAAACACACACACACGACTTTCACCCAGGAGGCCGACGTTTGTGTCCCATGTGAACCCAAAAGTCAAGTTTAGGATTTTTAAACTATATAACGCAGTTAGAGGTTTAGGGGGACATAATTGTGACATAGCCATCAAGTAACCATAAAATCCACCGTAAAATTCCATGTAGCCCAAGAAGCATTTTCCTCAAGACCACCCTCATAAAAGAGATGTCTGCAAAACTGTTGAAAGAACACATGGAACTGCACACAAGGTCAATTATGACTCTTTCTATTATGAATTTTTTGATCCATGGAGGTTTTATATTTGTTAAACTTTCCTCGAGCTAAGAAAAGCCATTTTAAAATCTATAATGTCATCACAATGTAAAGTCTATGAGCTAAACTCATGGGCGGGGCCAGCAGGAGAAATACTACTGCGCATATTCAGTGGGCTGCACACAGCAGAGGTAAACCTGAAAGCTAGAAATTTCTTGCCGTATGAACCAGACGAGCAACTCCATTGCTAAAACTACCGTCTTGGTGTGCTGTATCTAGTTATTATTGTACTTCCATGGTTTTGTCTGAGTAACAGTCCAAAACTCGAAGATATTCTATTTACAGTAAAAAAAAAAAAATTAAAAAAAAAGACAAACTTCTTGTTTGGGAGGCTGGAACCAGAAGATGTTTGGCTTTTCAAAATTGTTGCAGATTAATTTTCTGTCTATCGACTAATTAAATCAACCAATCTTTTTAGCACACTCAGCGCTGTCACAATCTGTATTTTCGTACCTGAACACAAGAAGCAAAACTGGGCTAGATTCATGAAATATATGGTAATCCTAATCCAAGAAGTTGTGAAACTGCTGAGATCTGAAAGCATTATTGTCTCCTCAGACTCCCAAACAGATGAACTCTGTGAGGTGCTATATATAGGTGTGCTAGTCTGCAGCTGCAGTCAGAGCATATCACTAGAAACTTTATATCTGTGAGGAGCTGGGAGACATCTTTGTAATGTTGTTTCAACATACTGCATATAAATGATCCTAGTTTCATTTTACCAGTCGTCACAGTTGTTTTATTTCACCTGCAAGTGCCGAGCACACAGGTATCCTACAGTATATTAGCTCTTTGTTTCAGGGGCACTTTTGCAATTGACAGCTATGCCTACAGATTTCCATATTAGCCTTCTACACGATTCCCATCTTGTATCGATTTGCATACAGGAAGGGGAATATGTGATTTACTCAGAGCAGAAGGAGCAACACTCAGCACTAGTGCAAGGAAACATTAATAGTTAAGCTCAGAGATTACAAGTAAATATGAATCCAAAGCCATGTGGATCATAGCAAGGTTTAAAACAATCTGTGGTGCTGCTGTAAGTGAAGGAGCTGTTCTGTGTATATCACCATTAGCAGCCATGAATTGTGACAGTTAAGTGGAAAATTATATCACTGCAAATTCATCTTTGGTGCAAAGAGAGATGGATGATGTCTGTTCGGGATGAATAACACATGGTAGTTGGTATTGGGCTCACTTGGGCAACTCATTGCCTCAAAGTACAAATAAGAGTGGGGGATACAGGGTTGTGATGCTGAGGAAAGCTGACATTTGCACCTCCGGTCCGATGCCTCTGAGCAGTCAGTGTGCATGTGGAGTACAGAAATGTTTGTCAGGGAGAGGGAGATGAGAGGGCAGGAGAGTTCCCTGAGCGAGCATTTACAATCAGCATTACCCGGGAGGCCTGTACACACTTCTACGCATTGGCTCACATTGCTCTGAGAGAAGCAGCCACAGTCCGTTTGACCCCAGCTCAGAGAAAGAGAGGGGAAAAACTGAAAACAATTCACACAAGAAAAAAGCACATACAGAGGGGAGACAGTCCCCAGAGACCTAAGACTATGCAATTTTCTGCTTGGAAATCCACGGAGAATATGTAGAATAAAAATACATGGAGAAAGGTCCGCACACTGTAGCTCCTGTAGTGCAATTTATCAGCACATCCACAAGTGACACTTAAGGGAGCTACAGTGTGCAGACCTTCCTTCATGTTTTACTGCTATCTTTTTTGGTCCAGCACCTGCCCAAAACAGTTTTTGAATGTGCATAACTACCACTAAACATAAAAATACATTCTCAAATCTAGTTTAGAAAAAGTGTGATATGTGTAAATACTATTAAACAAAAAGACAATGGAAAACATAGAATGTTGCTGCAAATGAAAGAAAGATTTGACACAAGCTGGACAAGAACATACAAAAAAAAATAAAACATTAAAATGTAGTACATTACTGTAAAGGTCTTTGCACACTCCGAAGTCCGAAACTTTTGTCCGTCATTAAAATTTTAGTAACAATTTTGATTTTCTGCATTTTTTGCATCTGTCAGAAGCCTTTGGAGCTGTTTGACCAAGAAGGAAATGTGGCAGCGGGACACATCCACAACAAGAGGAACGGGACGCACAGAATCATTTTATAACTCCAATAGCTCACTTTCAACAGGTCAGATGGTAATATTCAGGTGGATATTGATGAAGAGGAGGAGGATGTGGACTGCACACAGAATGTGCAGGACAGCTCCAACCCGTCATGCAAGACAGGGAGGGAGTGATGACAGCCAGATAGGTAACTCCAGTAGAGACAGGAAAAGGTGGAAATGTGTCTTTTCATTTTGTCATGTACTGCAAATTTTTGCTACGAATAGAACGATAAAACGCATCAGACTCAGTGTGCACATCTTCTGTGCATAATGATTTTTTTCAGATGACAGATTCAGAAATGCGTCCGAAAAGAAAAAGAAAAACAGACTCAGTGTGCAAAGGCCTTTGAATTTCTCGCCACTTCTTTAAGCTATGTTTCTTTGTGTGTTGGCAGATTAATAATGTACCTGCAACTATGGCCCTCATGAAATGTACCTGCAGTTCTTATTTATAGGTGAATTCCTGCACCAAATTAACCCAGCACTCAAAATAAAATACCAAGAGAGGACAAGCCCAAGCCTGTTGTTTCATGTTTAAAAAAAACACCCCAAACTCATTATACAGTTACTGCAGCTTTTTTTAATTAAAAACACTTGTCATAGATAGAGCCACTATATCTTTTATCATTAATAACTACTAACTAATTAACCCTGTGGTCATTGTGAGTCTCTTTGTGTCTCTTTGCAGCTGTTTTGCATCTTTTTGTAGTCATTTTGTGTCTTTTTGGAGTCATTTTATGCATCTTTGTGTTCATCTAAAGTCTCTTCCTGGTACAAGTCTCTTTGCGTGAAATTTTGAAGGTGATAGCTGAGGGGGTCCCTGACACACCAAAAAGGCCTGCTCAGTAATTCATCTATACTGTTGCACCCTTAAAAGCGTCAACATACTGTCTTAACATACGAGTATATATGCAAGCTAAAAAGCCAGGCAGGGTTATTTTAGAATGAAATGACTACCTGCCCTTATATTTTTCTCATCATACTACACTGCCAGGACTAACTAGTTCTACACTGCAATACAAGTAAAGTCCCATTTTTCCTGGGACATGTGTCTTTAGCACAATATCATGTACGTAGCCATGAAAACCCTCATACATATGCCCAATGCCAAAATAACAAACAAAAGAGAAGAGTGTGTAATACTTACAACCATACCGTTTAGGGACACCCAGCAGTCAGGGGGGAAGTCTTGGAGGAGAGGCACCAGATACTGGAGGCAGCCATCCCAGTGACACAGAAGCAGCATCATCCCTATCAAATTAAATATTCTTACCACTGCACTAGCCAGGTCATAGGTCATATGGAAAATCTGCAAAGGAGAAGAAGAGACAGAGAGACCTCAGTTAGACCTTTTCACTAACTCCTTTGTTGTGTGAAAACATACATTTAAATTCTGAGCATACATTGTGTTTCACAGTATGTTGTGAAACACAGACAGACAGTGGTTCAGATTTAGATCTGTTAGTGTCTCTGGAACATCACATGTATTGGTATTTCAGAGATACAAAAAGATTTAAGAAAAAAAGATTAAAAAGGTACTTAAAACGTTCACAAAAGTACAAAGTCACCTTTGAAGTGGAGGGCATGGTGTGCCTGTTTGGCCAGCAGAGAATGTGTTGTCACCAGTGTGTGTTTGTGTGTGTGTGTTAGGCTTAGGTGGTATCAAGGCATAATGGTAAACCAGGGTATTTGGAAATCCTGAAGGTATTATTTTCAGTACCATTAAAAGTACAGAGCTCCTTTTTCCATTAAACAGATAGGGAGATGCTGTATTGAGGCAATATAGTGCGCAGCAATTGGCACCAGAGATCAGTGTCCACTGGTGGAACTGGCAGCTGAGCTGTCAAAGAAGGCGACTGTGAGAGGTGTGGATAATGTTAGAGGACTGGTAAAACGTCAGCCAGCAGTGGCAGAAAGAGACGGGGGGGGACAGCAGTGAAGGAGCTCGCACATTTTCACATCTAACTAAGTGTCTTAAACGTTTATTTCAACCAAACCAGAGCTGGTGATTGTTGTAACAATGGCTAAGTTTGAATGAAGTGTGTTTTGCGATGAGTTAACAAGGCAGTGAAGCTTGTCGTAGTTCAGTGGCTGAGAGAGAAACTTGAACTGTATTTTTATGTTTAGTAGGAAAAATAAAATTTTGCAAACATTTTTTTGTTTATTTGACTAAAAAGCTAAGAGAGCATGTGAAACATAGTAAACTCGCCGCTTGAATACATTTCCCAGCTGAAACTTCTGGAGGCGACACACTAGCGCGAACACATCGGCTGTTGCTGGTTGTCAGGCTGACAGCAGTTGATTGTAAAATTTTTACATATTGCCCAACCCTACACTGTAGGCCAGACACTGGCATACATGCTACTATAAATTCTATCCAACACTTTCTCATACCAAAACAACAGAATAGGTTGATGTCCACTGACTTCCTAAACGACATACATGACCATCCTGACAGGTGCAGTTTTAAATACATCTTTAAATACAACATTATGAAGTGATCGCCATTACGCTATAAAACTTTGTATTCAGGTTTAAGAAACAAAACTAGGTGGAAAGGTCTAGAAAAAAACATAGAGGTATGTCACATGACAGACATCATATATGTCCCGTCACATGTGTAGCGTAGTGTGCTACACATGCTAGCACAGTACGCTATGATTTAATCAAATTAAGTCAACGTTCACTTCGGGGCCACGAAAATTGTTATCCTAAGTGCAAGTCCTTGGCTAGTTTGACCCAGCCACAACCCCTCCGTCCACCCTATAGGAACTTAAAGCATTATACATTACTTTGTCATTTTTATGCCACACGTCACGTATGTCATGTCACTTCCTCCCTTGCTCTTGTAATAATTACTACAGCTGCTAGAGGGCGCTGCCGTACAATAAACTTAAGTATGGGTCCTAATAAGGTGCTTGCACAGTCCACATTTTTTTGTAAGAGTGGCCTCCCTCTATTACCAGCAGCTCAGCTTTTAAGTTTTTATTTCTTAGACAGTTATATTTTTACAGTTTTTTCCCCCCCCACAAATACCGTTATCTACTGTATACCTCTGTGAAATGTCAGGAAGGTATGGAGGTATGAAAAAATAGGTACTGCCTGAGCCTAGTGTGTGTGTGTGTGTGTGTATGTGTGTGTGTGTGTGTGTGTGAGTGTGTGAGTGTATCTCACAGATGTTGTGCTGTATAATTCAACATGGCTCCTCTCCAAAACAAACTGACCAGTGGAGGATATACACACACAGCACAGAGTAGGTAATGCAGAGTGACTGAGGTGAAGGGAATACTGAATGATGAAGGCAATGCATTCATCTGGAATAATCAGCCAGTACTTGTGTCCAAATGCATATCATTTTATCAGAGCACGAAATTTCCGAACAGAAAGTCATCAGCAGGGTGACTAAGCGTATGTGCAATGTGAAGCGGTTTCATTCACGTCGGATCTGGGCGAAGAGAATTGACTCACGCCCGGCTGGTTGTGGCACTAATTTAGAGTTTCCCATTAGCATGAGGAACCCATTACTTCTTTCCAGGTTAGTTATTCCATAATCACCCTGGCGCTGGCGCTCAGTTTCTCCCTCTAAAAAAGTTAAATATGGAAGGAAGAAGATTGGCGATTGCTGATTGCCGGGTTGTGCATAATAAACCTGCACCATTTGCCAATTTGTTGAATGAAAGATTTTAGGTAATTAGTGTCTATTTTTAAGTTTATGGCTTTCTTTCTCTTTAAACTGCCCATTCTGCTAATCCCAAGTGTAATGACAATTTAACTGGGCCTCAGGGTATGTTGCACCACGCTGTCATGAGCTTAAAAGAAATTGAACTAAGTGAGAAATGGTAAACATTTTGTCTCAACTATGTTTTTCCACACTAGTGATAAAAGTTTCAAAGTTCTTAATGCTGATGATACTCTAGTTTAACCTACTGAAATATTTTACCTGAATAAGAGCAGAAATTAGCAGTTCTTTGTTTTTCTGAACATTTATATGTTCTAATAGCATGTTTTACTCCAGGTCCAGCCTTTAGTTTGGCGATATTTACCTTTTATTGTCCTCCATTCCTCTGTTTTTATTTTTTCTGGCTTTTATACTTGAAATTGGACACATACTGACCACTTCTGACCAAACTGCAAGGACTACTTGCCTCCACTTTTCATAAAGAGCAATAGGGTTGAGCGATAATTTCTTTTTTCATATTGTCTTTTTGCGGTTACTCGAGATCACAGATTGACGATCCAATCATCAGGGGGCTGTAGGAGTAGAAGGAGTTCAGGGGAATTACATCACAGCACACCAGTGAAATGCAAGCATGGATGACTTGATTCTTAGCGTCAAAGGAGAGGTCTTATATTTGGAGATATTCTAATATAGAATATCACAGCATCATGTCCCATTACATAATCTTTAATATCACAATCCAAATTTTTTTCACAACATTAAGTACTCTTATGCAGCTCAAAGTTTTGGTGAGCAGGCATAGGGAGAACGCGGGGGGGGGGGGGGNAGATGGCAAACTGGTTTGTAATTAAGGATTTAAGATTCACTCATCACTCCTGCTGAGTAACGGGGCTGTGCAGGTGCCACATCAAGAGCATCATCTCTAAATGCACAGTAGGGCTCAGATTCTGGAGATTATGTTTATAACATTTTAGTTCTGACAGTAAGTTAGTTAAAATTGCCTTGATATCAACGTAAGAAAAAGAATCATTGATTTATCCATTCCATCCACAATATACAATCTAGTTGCCAATCGGGATAAGCTCAGAGTGCAATCACTCCAGAAAAGAAACACAGCCTGAGCATGGACTTCATGTTGTGCTGATTCTGAACCAGTATTGCCATGAGTATGCAAAATCTGCGTGTGATTAACACCACCCCACCCCCTAAACACCAGGTGTTTTAAAAGCTCTTTGAATCCACATCTCTCCACCCAGGCCTATTGTGACTGTCCTGTAACCTTTCTGCACAAAGGACAGTGTCCACACACAGAGCAGATGAGAGAACAAGAGGCTGAGCTGATGCTCAGATCCCTCTATGGTTCAACTCATCCACAGGGGGATACAGTGCACTGCCCTCACAGGCTAAAATTAGCCACTAGCTTACAGGATGGATGTCTCAACGCACCCAGTATCTCCTCCACTGCCTACATCTTTATCCTTAATTTAGCAGAACTCTCTCTCCCTCTATTGGGTGTGTGTGTCTTCACATTCATCATGGTTTGGTGACATAACAGGAGAGAACAACAGGCACAGGGCAAGAGAGAACGGGGGAGACGACAACAAAGACAGAAAGGTAACTAATAAAGGTACACATTCTTGGAGGATTGCAACAAGACTGGAAAACAGGAAGTAGCACCTTGGTCTCTATTTGAATTGCAAATGATTTGCAGCAGGCAGAAATAGAAAAGGGTTGACTGCTTGTCTACACTTTCCTCTTTCAACTAATGCATGATAGAAAAACACAACGAAAGGGACTCTGGAAAATTCAGGGCTGGGGATAGGGGTGTGTGCGAAGGTTGTAGAGAGGTTTTACAAATTCCCAGGGACCGTTTCACTTTGCTGGGAAGCCTCTGTGACCTCTGGGTCACGCTGACTCACGGAGGGCAGAGAGGAAATATGTAGAAACTCATTAACGCAATGTGGGATTTGTTTGGGTTCGTATTTCAGGGGGCACCAGTTTGAAAAGTCTGCTAGTGGCAGCAGGTAGCCACAAGGTATTACTCTATTAATAGAGTTGTTAATAATAGAGGCTCCGGGTGTAGATCACTGGTCAGGTCACAGGATTATGCAGGATAACCTTCACTGTGAGGTAGGGATATACGAGGGTGAATTTTAATTTGAAACAGTGAGGTGTTGGGAGTTGTTACCACTGCTGGAATACACTATGTTAGGACTAAAACAATGTCTCCATATAGCATTTAATACACTGAATATGTGCAACCTTTGCACAGTGAAGGCTCTAAGACACAAAAGTAACACAGGGTGTGGAGGGAGAAAGTGTCCAGACAAAGTCCAGACTCTGAAGGCCAATGTTCCTGTGGTTGAGAGCAGTCCCTACATCATGCTCAGGATATGTATTGTCAGAATCTAAGATGCTAAACTTTCCAACATGCAGGTATTGGATCATCACTCAGCAACTTTCTGCAGCCAGGCATTTAGGAGTTGCACTGAGGCCACAGATAGGGAGACGGCAGAGCATCTGTGCAGCACACAATGTTGATGGAGAGGATTAAAATATAGGCCAACATGTGAAGTAAGGGAAATCAAACGAGATCTAAAAATAAACTTAACACAGCACTAATGGTGTTT